AAAGCGACCCATAGATATCATGTATATAAGTGTTTCTGTCGGTTTGTTTGCATTTCATAACGTACTAATAAATAGCCTCACAAAATAATAAAAAAAAACTTAAAAAAATTCTAATTAATTAATGCAAAATTTCTAGGTTTTCTGATAAATTCGTTAGGAGATTTTATTTATTTTTTCATTTATATTATATTAGATAGATTTATACTCTCACATGTACCTCTTAATTATTATGTATGTTCAATTATACATAATATGTATTCTAGTATCACATAATCTATGGTATTCTGCATAACAATTAAAATAGTTTATTATTAACCTATTTACCAAGGGACATAATCTCAGTTAATGACAGACTAGTAATTATACGGTAATTATTAGTCTTGAATTAACATTTTATTAGTTTGTAGATTTATTACGAGTATAGTGAGAGACATGTTCTGTTAATTATATAGAGGCAAAATTTGTATTAATTTTATTCTTCTATATATATATATATAATATAATTGAATAGCATCGAATTGAATCGAATTTTAGCTTGCCTGAATTAAACTATTAGAAAGTCCTGATTAAAGAGGTTTCAGTAAAATTACTTTAAAAAATTTACTTTTTTGAGTAAAAAATAATATGTGTACATTAGCAAAGGCTCTCACTGGATACTGCAAACTAAACAAGCACTGGCCCAACTAGGCTTATGACCAAAAACGCAGCACTTAATTTGTGGTTGGCCACAGCCACAAATTAAATTGGCTACCACTTATATATAAACGATATCATTATCTCCTTTGGAAAATACACTTTCCTGAGGAAATGAAAAACATCTTAAAACTCCTATTACTGATAGGAATTATTAGTGAATTTTAAAAAAGGGGCGAGCAAAAAAAAAAGAAGGTTGCAGTGTCACAGATATTTTCTGCCTTAAAAAGCTCGTTTCTCAATAATAATAATAACAAGGGCAGACGTATTCAGCAGTGGAATGCTAGTAGATTTTTATAAATAACTAGTAACCCGGAAAATGATATTTATCTCCTAACGATATCTGAATTTTTTAATAGCAATAAAAATTATCCTATATCATAAATTAATGCAAACAATACACATTCACTAAATTCATTAAAATGGGCTGAACGGTTTCGAAGATTAGTGTAAACCAATTTCGTGACACGGGATTTTTATACATACATTAATTTTAGGTACAGGAGCAGTTCGTCTCTTTGGATTTTACTTCTTGTTATGTAGCAATTTATTTTTCCTCAAAATTCACAGTTGGATATTAAAGTTCAATCTTTTCTATGATTGGTTTACATTTAGAACCATTCTCAAGAAATCTCGATAATAAATTCAGTTATTTGTGAAGAGTAAAATTGAATTGGTTTAAAATTCAGTTTGTATTAAAGATTTAAACTAAAATCGAGGGCAGATTAATTTATATTCCATTAAAATGTAAAATTGTTGGCGGATTTTAATATTTTTTATTATTTAGAAGTTATTTTTATATATTTTGAAATTGATAGTCTTTTATGATAAACATTACGTATTATGTGATGCTTATATTTTTTATATTATCACAAAAAAGCTTACAGATATGATGAAAAAATTTACAGTTTGGTCGACATTTGGTACGTATCCCATTAAGGTCTTTTTATATTAATCTTTTTATCCTATTTTTCTAGGGAATCTGTTAAAAAGTAGAAACAATTTATGGACAAGCAATTCTTTAACTTTAATTTTAATAAGGTTAACAGAAATTTGCAAGCATCATAAACTCGTGGTGGTGGTGGAAACTCGATCTAACTAGCACACTGATGCTATAAAAAGGAATAAAATATTTTTGTTTGTCGGTTGCGTCTATATTACTTCCCTTTGAACGTACATAAACCGAGGAAAACAATTTCGAGCATGAACGAGTCGTAATTGAGCTGAATGCAGGAGTGTAGGTACTGACTACTCGTTTGGGCGTTACAAAATTGTGAACTAACTATTATGGTTCCATGGGTTCTCTTCTCTTAAGGAGAAAATTCTTATTCTCGCTGGCTAGGTAGTTTGGTATAGGATTTTATTTCGATGTTTTTAACGACTTCAAAAATTGAATTCTCGATTCAGTTGTAATTTTTTATCTTAGACCTCGGTTATTTGTAAATCGATTTGTAAAATTCTTTTTTTTTTATTTAAAAGGATACACTTTCAGTAATCTAAAATAGTAGATAGAAATTTTATTAAAATTGATCCAGTAGTTTCATTTATAAATCAAAATAAGCGGTTCTGCCCCAAAGTTTTTTTTTTAACAAATTTACTTCTGTCTATATTTGCATTAGTATGATATTAATAATTATGAGTACTTTTGTGATATCTTACTATATTTATACTTAATTTTCATCATAACATTGAATAGCCATAAATTATATAAAAGAACAAGTTCACTTTAAGTTGATCGTGTCTGGATACCTTTTTAATGTCCATTGTAGAAAAAAAAAACCATAGCTGTCAAATTTATTTTTTAACTATTATTCTTTTAATTTTGAGCATGAATTATATCACCTTGATTTATTTTACCAATAAAAAAAACATGCAAAGAAGGGTTAAATGGAATAGAGACACATTGCTATGAGTATTCTCCGTCAGAACATGGTTATGTCTAATAAATATGGTAATTATGGAGTACTATAGGTTACATGATGATAGCATTAAACAAATACAGCGGTTTATACACTGATATAGCTAAGGTAAAGGAGATAGGTAGTATAGAGATATTATCATATATATAATACAGAATAGCAAAAAACCTGATGGATCATCTGAACGCAAGTGATAATTGTTGCGTCATGGAAACCACAAAATAAATACCTACACTATGATATCTATGGCATCTCTCGTGCATTGTTTTTTCTGAGGACTAAACATTTACGTGTCTATTTCTTGCTATGTTTTTATGTTTCGCATTAAAATATGTTGTTTTTGTAAGTATCCCCATAAGTACTGTAGATACTTACCTTATTCAGATATCGTTTCAAGGATATATTTCTTGCATTTCTATTGAGGTGATAGAGTACTCAGACCACCTCTGACTCAAATTATTATAATATGACATGCAACCTACTGCTTTCGCTGTGAAATTTGAGTATTTTTTTGTAATGTTCATTGCATGTTACTGTCTATTGGCAAGGGTTTATTACTTCACATCAGGTATGCTATTTACTTATTTGGCATTTTATGTTGCAATAAGGTGCAATAAGAAACGATTCTTTATACTATGCTAATTAAAAATATGGTCTATCGATAGATTATAATGAAAGTTAGTATATGTATTAACTTTTATTCCAAATTCATTCTTACGATTGAGTTTTAAATATCTTTACAAATGAAGAAGTGCTTGTCCTGGCTTTGCACAGGTGCAATATTTATTTGTGTAACTTTTGAACTGTCATCTTTTATCTGAACCATCATTTTAGTAAGGCTGGTATTTCGGTGTGTGTGAAAGTACTGCGCTAATATTTTCTAAGATTTTAAAATAAACGGCTAGTTTAATTTTATTTTATTATAAATACCATCTTCTCAACTTAGATATTAAACTTATATATATGGTGTCGCGAATTTTTTTGCAAAGCTAGGATTTTTTTGTAACATAATATTGAAATCAATCATTTTGTTATAGATTGAATCCTTTATTTCAAACCGTTCAGACAGCGCACGCCATATTACAGAATCTTTGCCGACTTCAATTACATTTATTGTGATTAATTATTGCTATTATATATTTATCAAAATAAAAGTAGCCTGTTTTTTCAAGATCAATAAATTGCTCCAGTCCAAATTGACGAACTTTATTTCTTTATAATATTAGTGTAGCTTATTTATGTTTTTTTTTTTTTTTATTATATCAGACATTAACTGTACACTGCTGAATGTAGGCTTCTTTCATAAGGGAGTGTTGCCCATAGTTGCCACGCTAGTCAACCGCAGACAGGCTTTGGTGATGTTTTAGGAGGGAAGCTGCTGACCCTTCCTCGATCATTAAATTTCCTTAGTCGCCTCTTACGACATCCACGAGAAAGAAAGGGGCTATACTACGCCAGGACCACAAGACAAATCTTCATACTTAATAGGTAATACTTAGTAGGACTACTTATAGCGTATTTAAAAATTTTCATGCATTATTAACTCTTTAAAAAAAAAGGAAAATGAATTGTTAATTTTAAGTGGACATAGTGAAGCTGTTCTTTTTATAGTTGCAATTAAATACAAGTAAAGTGTTAAAGTCACAATACTGCTATAACTTTATATTTCTTTTTGATTATGTACTATTTAGTGTAATAAAATATTTTGTGATGACAGTTAAGAATTAAGTTAGGTAAGGTGAGACAATGACGAATTTATCCGTAATTAACCGTGATTAATTACAGATAAATCCGGGTTTACAGGAAAGAGCGTGGAGTCGACACGATGGTACTTAGATTGGTATTAATGGGGAAGCTATAATCTACTGTCAACAAATATTTTCTTCCATGATGTATTTATTGAATTTTACTTACTTATTCACAGGTATATCCGTATAAGTGTATTTAAAATATTATATCACGTAACAGATAGGTGCATGATTAATTTTGTTATTTAAAATATAATTAATTAATAGGTATACCAGAGGGAAACTTTGTAAAAAGATGTTTGCATGGGCACCTCTGTCCTATTTGTGTTTCTACCGTGAAATAGTTATATTTGCATGGCTGTGTTTCGGTTTGAAAAGTGGGATATAGTAGTGAATTTACAGGGTACAAAGGAATAACACTTGCGTCCTCAGGAATGGCAACGCATGGAGGGTATCATGGACGAAACATTATACTCGTGCTTCGTCCTCTAGATTAGTAACCTGTAAATTTAAGAAATATATAATGTAGTTACACGTAAGTGATACCACTTTGCACTGAAATGTGTAGGCACTATAGTTTATTGATTGATTTCCGTTTTTTTTTTTTTTTTTTTTTTTTTGTGGGTACTTTTTTGCTTGTATGGGTATTTAGGGCTGTGTCGCGCCATAGTTGCTTCATTCACGTTTCAGTGCTTAACCACAACGCACCTCTTGCTTATCTTTTTAATATTAGTTATTAAAAATGCCAAAAAGAAAGAATTCAGACAACGATCTAGATAATATATCCAAAAAGTTAAAAAAATTAGAGAAAAAATTAAAGCGTGCGCGGCGTCACCGCAATAGTGATAATAGTGATAAAAGTTCACCTCACTCAATATCCTCCCCGGATGCACAAACATGTAAGTACAGACATAAATATTTTATCTAAACATCTTACAAATTACGTTAATCATCAGTTTTAAGTAACTAAATAAAATATGCTCGCAACTATAATCGCAGTTGGGTAGTCAGTCATCTTGTCTTAAAATAAGCTAGATTTAACATGTACTCACCCTAGCGTGTTCGGTTGTGGATGACCGCAACAAACCTCAAATACAACCTACATTAAGTACATAAAAATTCAGTCGTCCACAGTTAAGGTCAATCTCTGGGACTGATCTGTTGTGTGACAGACTATGCCACCATGGCATGCTTTCAAGTCTTAATGGACTTACAAATAGCCTACCTAATCAGTCGTTGGGACTGTGTATTCAGGCATTTATACGGTGCTCCACAATAAGAACTGATCTTTGGATCTGATACCTTGCGGAATACACCTTGCCCGCCAGGGCAAACAAATCGTCTAATGACGCACCTCCCGTAAAATATGCTATCCTTATAATGGGTACATCGCGGTCGCTAAAACAGCATTCTTTTGAGCTAGATGCTCAAAAGAATGCTACTGCTATGCTGTGCTATATTAAATAAATAAGTGAAATAGTATCCTGAGAGATGAAATTTCATATTTGCAGTTCGGGATTTTTTGGACAACTCGAGCTCACCTAAATTAGACACGACGCCTCCCCAGTCTAAGAATCTAGAAGAGATAACTCCAATTTTATTGTGCGAGACAAATCAAACGGGGGATCTTGCAGCTATGCCACCGGCTGAAATTGAAATCGCCACTCACAACGAGGAAGACAATGTTGCTGAAAGCGGTGCACTTGACAGCATTGCTTTAGACATTTTGGGTGAAGACCCAACATCGATAACAGAGTATGGCAGCGATATTCACAAAGAACTTGCAAATAGGCTTGAACACATTGCGACTGATGGGCTAACGAAAGAGACCCGTAAAGAACTGTGCAGTAAATATCTAGTACCAGCAAACAGTAAAAAAATCGGCGCACCCCTAGTAAACGCTGAAATAAAAGCTGCATTATCGGAAGCCACAATAAAACGCGACAAGGGGATAGAAACTCGACAGAAACAGTTGGCTGCAGCTATATCGGGATTATCTGGCATACTCAATCAAGAACTAAATTCCAAAGATAAAGACAGCTCGCGCCTTAAAATTATAATGGACGTTACCCGCATTTTATGCGATATCCAACATGCAGAATCTGTCACTCGACGCTATCTCGCAATGGGAACTATAAAGAAAGATTTACGAGAACATTTAACCAACACTAAAATAGACAAATACCTTTTTGGCGAAAATCTCAGCGAAACGCTCAAAACCGCTAAACTAGTCACTAAATCAGGGACAGATCTAAAGATTAAAAGTCAACCTAGACCCAAGCCACAAAATCCTACCGGGAATTTAAACTACAGAGCTCCGGTCCCAGTTCGCAGGCAACAACAGGGACCACAACGGAGCCGCGGACCTGCCTCTCGTATGACGACGTCTCAACCGAACAGATACTCACAGAATCCGACGCACTCCAACTTGTCGAAACCATCGCAACATCCGCAGAAACCTGCGGGTCGTCGCTAGATTCGGTAAAGTATGCTGGTCGACTCTCATCGTTTTATAAGCAATGGGCACACATCACCAATGACCACACTATACTGTCATGGGTAAATGGGTATAAAATAAGGTTTTCAAATCCCCCCGTCCAGAAATATGAACCCAAACCCCATCAATATACCGACACGGAAAAAAATCACTTTAATGCAGCTATAACAGACCTCATTAATATGGGTGCTATTAGTAAGTGTTCTCCCGATAGAAATCAATTTCTTTCTACAGTGTTTCTACGGCCTAAGCCCAACGGAAAATTTAGATTTATTTTGAATTTAAAAAGCCTAAATAAATTTATTAAAACCGATCACTTTAAACTTGAAGATTTACGCACTGCTGTTAAATTAGTTACAAAAAATTGTTTTATGGCAACATTAGATTTAAAAGACGCATACTTTTTAATTAAAATACATACCGAGTCTAGGAAATATCTAAGATTCTCATGGGAAGGAAAAATATATGAATTTAATGTTTTACCCTTTGGGTTAAATACTGCTCCATACATTTTTACAAAAATTATGAAACCAGTTGTTAAACTCCTCCGCATGTGTGGACTCCTGTCCACAATTTATCTCGATGACCTATTTCTATTAGGACATACATATGAAGTCTGTAAATGCAACATTTCAATCTCTAAAAAATTATTAGAAAGTTTAGGCTTTATCATTAATGACGAAAAAAGTACCCCATCACCTGCAACAACATGCAGATTTCTGGGCTTCATTATAAATTCAAAACAATTCCAAATAACGTTACCTAATGAGAAAAAAGCATATATTAGAACGGAACTCATTAAGATGATAAATATAAAACGATGTAAAGTTAGAAAGTTTGCTCAATTAATAGGACTTCTTGTATCTGCCTGCCCTGCAGTCGAGTACGGTCTACTTTATACGAAACAACTCGAACGACACAAGTTTTTACATCTTAAAAAAGACCAAAACTACGACAAATATATGTCTTTACCCAAAACCTTATTACCAGATTTTAAGTGGTGGTTGAAAGGCATTACTTCATCCGTTAGGCAAATCAGAATCGACGAATATCATCTAGAGATATATACGGACGCCTCATTAACTGGATGGGGCGCAACATGTCGCGGCAATACAGCTAGTGGCTCATGGTCAAAAGATGAGAAAGGAAAACATATAAATGAATTAGAACTGATAGCTGCATTCTTTGGGCTGAAAATATTCGCCAAAGATCTCAAAAAATGTCAAGTATTATTACATATAGATAATTCCACCGCTATTGCTTACATAAACCGCATGGGTGGAATACAATTTCCTCACTTGACCAAAGTAGCTAAAGACATATGGAGGTGGTGTGAGGATAGAGCCTTATTTATCTACGCTTCATATATAAAATCTGCAGATAATGTAATTGCTGATGCAGAATCCAGGCGCATACACCCCGATGTAGAATGGGAACTAACCAATAAAGCCTTCCAGTATATTTGTAATCAATTTGGTACTCCACAAGTTGACTTATTTGCCAGTCGAGTCAACACCAAATGCAGTAAATTTGTATCCTGGCATAGAGATCCTGATGCCATAGCCATAAACGCTTTCACTATTAAATGGACAAATATATATTTTTACGCTTTTCCCCCTTTTGCAATTATATTAAAAACACTAAGGAAAATTATTTCAGATAAAGCAAAAGGTATTATGGTTGTCCCAAGATGGCCGACGCAACCGTGGTACCCTATCTTTCGCAAACTGCTCATTACTAATTCTTTTGTTCTTATGAATAATAATTGCATTGTTATGTCACACAGCAGCAGCCAGAACATTCAATCAAAGCTTACCCTGGAGGTCGGAGTATTGTGCGGACAGCATTACTGCGACGAAGTATACCGCCTTCCTCACTAGAAGTTATGATGGCATCACTCTCCAAGAACTCTTTTAAACAGTATGATGTACCGTTTAAGAAATGGTTCAGTTTTTGTCATAAACAAAAAATTAGTATTTATGAAGCATCAATTCCGTTCATCCTACTCTTCTTTACCGAAGCTTATAATAGCGGCTGTCAATATGGTACCCTCAATTCCTATAGATCAGCACTTTCGCTTTTATTAGGTCCCCATATAACGAAAGACGATCGAGTAGCTCGATTTTTTAAGGGCGTCTACAGACTTCGTCCACCTTTGCCTAAATACGACATTACATGGGATACAGCCCCTGTGCTTGATTGCCTTGGCAACATGTATCCTAACGAACAACTGTCTTTAGAAAACCTCACCAAAAAATGCGCAACCTTACTAGCTTTAGCCTCCGCGCATAGAGTACAGACATTAGCACTAATTAATATCAATAATATCGAGCACCAGCCAACTCAAATTTCAATTAAAATACCAAATGAAATCAAAACTAGTAGTAGATTAGGCGCCAAGCAGCCACTTTTAATTCTGCCCTTCTTTTCGGAAAAACCCGAAATATGCCCTTCCACAACATTAACTGCATACCTAAAAAGAACCAAAAATTTACGCCAAAATTTGGTTAATCTGTTTGTAGGATACAAAAAACCTCATAAAAACGTAGGCGCACAGACTATTAGCCGCTGGATCAAGTCCACACTGCATAATTGCGGAATTGATGTTTCAGTCTTCACGGCGCATAGCACTCGCCATGCTGCCACCTCGAAAGCATACAAGTGTGGTGTATCTGTCGATATGATTCGTAAGACGGCCGGATGGAGTGGCTCGTCAAATACATTCGGAAAATTCTACAACAGAATCATTATAAATAACAACAATGATGGCTCACTCGCGCGAGCAATCATAAATAATAATTAATAGGAATATATATATATATATAATTTAGTTAATAAAATAATTCATATAGTAGGAAAGATGATTATTAAGTTAATATAATTATACTTATAATAATTAATGATAATTAGTGGTTACGGATTATTCTTGATAATCATGAACTCATCTAATTCTTTTTGATTAAACTCATATTTACAATAATATTTCGTTTTAATCTGCAATATTTTCTGAACCAACTCTCAAGGTCTACATTATATATTTCTTAAATTTACAGGTTACTAATCTAGAGGACGAAGCACGAGTATAATTAATGATTAAACGAACTTACACAAGTAAAGTTCTATCATAATTATACGAGGTGCTTCGTCCGAAGAGATTAGTAACACATCCCCCCCTACCCTACCCAGAAAATAAGTTCAGAAAATATAAAGTAAACAAAAGCTCTAAACTGAATGAAGCAACTATGGCGCGACACAGCCCTAAATACCCATACAAGCAAAAAAGTACCCACAAAAAAAAAAAAAAAAAAAAAAAAAAAAAACGGAAATCAATCAATAAACTATAGTGCCTACACATTTCAGTGCAAAGTGGTATCACTTACGTGTAACTACATTATATATTTCTTAAATTTACAGGTTACTAATCTCTTCGGACGAAGCACCTCGTATAATTATGATAGAACTTTACTTGTGTAAGTTCGTTTAATCATTAAGTATACTCTGTTATGTCCGTGGTATTGCTCATGTCTTTAGGCGACGGTTACTACTTTCCATCAGGTGGGCCTTCAGCTTGTTTACCATTCTAAGTTGCATAAAAATAATAATTTAGTTACGAACAGATAAATTACGAACCTAACTTCATACATGAGACTGAATACAACTATAAGCATTCATAATAACCTATCGCCTTAATTTTAACTATTGCACTGTTTTGTCATTTTTTTCAGACTCGGAAGGAAAAAGATAAAATAGTTCAATAGCTAAATTAGGTTTGAAGAATTGACGTTTTTATGAATAAAGGTTTTGTTAGTAGTTTTTGGAGCACGCACCGTACGTCCCTCAAACTACAAAGTCGTTTATGAGTCAACAAATTAAACAAAATTGCCTTTCATTAAGGTCATTATTAAATTCACTGAAGTTTAACCGCAGTAATAGCTAGAGTAATGTACCTAAATGATTTTATTATACGTATTATTTATATATACGTTTAGTTTCCATAATAAATACAAGATTGGGGAAAATGTAATATAGTAACGTATGGGAAAATATTGATTAGATTAAATCAATGCCAATTACGCCATTAAAAGCCTACATGAAAATGTTTTCCTGTTTTCATATTACTGTGTTTAGTCAGTAATAAGAAAACACTCTCAAATTCTTATAGATGCCTATAACAATGTATTCATAGGTTACATATAATTAAAAACAGCCAAATTGAATCGTAGGTAGGAATAGAAATTATTGCTACATTTAATTCATTATTATTTAGTAAAATTATTGTTTTTATTTACACTGGTGATCAGCAGTGGCAAATCATAAAATATGAAATCGGAATGACTTAATGTTGTACTCTTTATTATATACTACTGAATATTTTTTTTTCTTATTTTTTTACAATACAGGGGGCAAATGAGCATGCGGCTCACCTGATGGTAAGTGACTACCGCCGCCCATGATCACCCACAACACCAGCGGCATTGCAGGTGTGCTGGCGGCCTTTTAAAAGGGAATATACTCTTTTCTTGAAGGTTATGTTGTCGTATTGGTTCGGAAATACTGCTGCTGGAAGTTGATTCCAAAGAATAGTTGTGCGTGGAAGAATGTGCCTTGAAAAACGCACGGTGGAAGACCGCCACTCGTCCAGATGATTGGGATGAAATTTTAGTTTGTGGCGGGTGGTACGATGGTGAAAATCAGCAGCAGGTATCAATCCGAACAATTCCTCAGAACACTCCCTATGATAAATTATGAATTGTATGATAAGGCCGAGTCTGTAAAGTCTCTATTCATTCGCTCTACGAGTTTATGCTCCAATCGGCCATCTGATGCCATTTCTTTTTTACTACTAATCGAGCGCAGCCGATGATTCACGAATAAAGCCGAACACAGCGACTATCTGTGATTTAATTTCATTGTGAGTTATCTGTAGCTCTCTCTGAAGCGACGTAGATGGAGTAATATATGATTTGACGTAGCATATGGAATTTCACATCTGACATGTGAAATATTCCAAACCTAATCACAAGCGAGACCATGAGTTTTGATGAGAGACATCAGACATTGCTATCTCATACTCTCACGGTTTTACTAGTGACGACCATTCCATCGATAGATTTGTTTGCCACTTGTCTAGAGGGTCTGGGCCTCTAGACAAATAGTAAACGAATTCGTCGATCGAATCGACATCGCGAGTCCAGCAGTTGGAATGATACATTCAACGTTGCTATCTCATTATATCTCACGGACTCGCTAGCGATATCGAATTCGTTTGCCACTTGTCTAGAGGGCTAGAATACGAATAGAAGTAAAAGTTAGAATACAGTATAGCCGGCGAATTTGATACTGTAATCTAAATAACTAATAGATTACAGTATCAAACTAGTATATATTTATAGACATATTCTATAAGAGGAAATTAGGCGATATCATGTAAAAGTAGGACTTATTGACACTCATTTGTCTTTGTTTATACTTGTCAAAGAACATAGCGTGAAGATATAGTTAGAAAAGGCTCTGACGAAGTAATCTGATATTGTTGAGCATAATGAATATTTATGATTAATTGGAAGTAACCATGAGTAAACCTCAATAGTACAACAATAGTTAGAGATAATAATGTGACCGTCATCATACTTCTTATGTCAGTTTTAATTCTTGACTAACTCTCTGATAATGGTATTCATTTTACACAGTCCCTACACACTTATTCTGTTTAAATCAGTTAGTAAGAGTAAAATATATGCAAAAGTCAATTAATTATATTGTTGAAATTTTTGAATAGTTCATCGTTCTGATCGCATTACACAAGTATTTATGTTCACTACGCCCTTACCTCAAATCGTAGTTTAATAACATAAAGTTCGAGATTTATTTATCTTTAAGACGGTGATCTACGAGGCATATTGATTAATCCTATTCACAAACCGTCGTACAGCTATTTCCCTCAATATTGTGTAATGTATCCGAACTGACATTATATACCAATATTATACTCGTAAATATTATTCGTTTAGTATCGAATACGAATTTATTTGATAGCTATCAATAAATGAATACCACTGAAATAAATTTCATGATACATACATATAAAATGTTTGCTGTCCATGTTTATAATTAAAATTGAAGCGAAGTACAATGTAGACGTTATATATTTTTACAGCCACAGTAAAACAGTCTCCAGCGTAACTATATGGCATAAAAAATGAAATTAAACCCGCCGTTTTATTGACTTTTAAATAAATTTAAAATAAACTGGTGTTGTATTGTATGTACTTATATCGCTACAGTACAATTACTTATAAAATATTTTATGTGGAGAATTGATAACAAAGGAATGAAATATAATGATATAATTACGCTGAATTAGGTGTATTATGTTTATATATTTTTAATTTATTTTGGGGTGTAATTTTTTTATTATTACAATAATATTTCATCATCAACGTTATATTATTAGCCATTGTCTGTCCACTGCTGAGCATAGGTCTCCCCATAGACTGCCGTAAGAATCGGGATCATTCCTTATAGCAGTTTACCATTGGCGGAATTTTGCCAGTAGCTGCCACGCTTGGTAGGCGGATTGGCAAACGTATTTTGTTTTTTAGTTATGTTTTTAGAGCGATGCTACTGGCCTTTCCTTAACCATTAAGTTCCCTTAATTACCTTTTACAACACCCATGGGAAAGAAAGAGGTGACGGAACCACATGGGAAAATATATATACCATAATAATAATAAAAAAATGATATGAACTATACCTTAAATACCACAGAATACATTACGCTCCTATGCATATCAAAATATCCATAACGCTTTGTCTATTGCTGTAGTACTTCCACTATGAAATTTGGTCCACACGTATTATATGGTATGGAGAAGGATATAGATTAACTTTCAAAATTAAATTTAATGGCCATGCGGTCGAAGTCGCAGGTAAAAACTTGTAGTGCAATATAATTCTAATACCTACCTGCTTGTACTTAAAAAATTGGACATCAATATAATGTCAGAACTTTTTACGTCTACTGCAATAAAACATAAATAGTGATCTTAAGTAAATATCTTTATTTTAAGTGAAATATTATACGAATAAGATGTTTATTGAATGTTACAACATAGCTTAACTTAGATAATAATAGATATTTAAAAGGTCATAAGTCTGACCCGGTCTTTTGATATCTAACTTTATTCCAGTTAGCCGGAAACCGGGTCGGCTTAATTTGAGAGCTAGCCTTAGGTACTTTGGTAAGCTGATACTGCATTTATATTATAGAACGTTTTTCATGCACTTAACTCTATTGGGTTTCATTCTATTTTGGAAATAGAATGGTATGCCATCTGGCCTATTTCAAATGTGTTTTGTTTTAAACCCTACATATACAATCCTATACGAAGTATTTAGCACAAAGGGAAACATAGGGTAATTTTATTGCTATATCCAATTCAAGGAACAGAGTTCGCGGGCATAGACAGCCTAAATAATCATCATCACCATCTTCCTGCCCTTATCCTAATTATTTGAAGTAATAAAAGAATAATACTCAAGGGTTTGGCTTAGAGATGAAATGTACATATTTAGGTCGAAAATTGATATTGTTGATATCCTGTCTCTAGTGTAAAGCAGATCTATTAGATTATATAGACATACATTACATAGAGAGACGATGAAAGTAGGTTTGTACTTAAGTAAGTTGAGGTTAAGAATAGGTAAAAGAAGATAGAGGAAGATCAACCCTCATATTGTCTCACTTACAGTAAAAGGCTAAGGTTTTATAACATATGACCGAAAGCTGAAAAAAGAGCGAGA